CCTCACTTCAAACATGATATAGATTCTTTTGCTATTCTTTTGCCTTTTTTTTTCCCCTCCCTTCAAGGATTTTAATCATAGATGGAACATTTATAGCTAGAATGTAAGATTTAAATGCCTTTTCATTGTTGGTGAAGACATCTGGTAATTGATTTGTAATATTTTATAAATAAATTATCTTTTGAACTTCAAGTTCATATTGATTTGTTCTTAGATCAAAATAAGATAACTTCAGGTTATTCCAAGTAATTTCTTGTCGTGTTTTAGACACTAAATTTTCTTTCCCTAATGATGGAAAAATGTTCTTATCAAAATGGCAGTCTTCAAAACGTGCTTTAAAAACATCATCAGCTAAAGGTTCAAGGAATCTAATAAAAGATGGAGAATTAAAACCAATATAAATTTTTATTCTACATTGTGGATCCATTTTAGTCCTTTTCCCCTTGTTATAGGCACATAAATTGCATAACCAAAAGTTTGTAGATGAAATATATTTGAAAGTATACCAAAAAAAGTTGTAAAAGAGAATATATATAGTAAGCACTTGGTCTAATCCAAACAAATGATGCAAAGTGTAATATAGCATGTTCCTAAACAAATGTAAGCAATTTTATTATTATTATTAATGTGAGTGTCTGGGTCAGTTTGTACACACCTCAACTAATCTCATGGGTCTTGAAGTTAACATCCATGTCCGGGCCAGATGTAGGCAATTTTAATTTCATAAGTAATGGTCTAACAATTAATTAAATATGCTTTATAAATAATTCTACTAAACCATTTTGAGTATGTACATGGACAACAAGATGCTCAACATCAATTCCAATATAAATGCAAAAATTATCAAATGCTTGAGAAGTAAACTCACTAGCATTGTCCAATCGAATTTTCTTGATTGGATAATCATGAAATCGCACTCGTAGTCTGATAATTTATATTATTAATCATGAAAATGCAACATTTCGAGTAAAACGTAAACAAACATATGACCATTTACTTGATGCATCAATCAATACTATAAAATATCTAAAAGGTCTGAATAGTAAATATACTGTTGTCACGACCCGAAACCCGGATCCATAACCGGCACATAGGCAAGGTTCCCCTCCAAGGTTCCATACCTATGCGAACTCAAACTTACACACAAACTTATCATAACTCAATCAGAGTTCAACGCAGCATTAATAACAAGATCAATTTCATAATATAATTGAATTGTCTTAATATAAGTGTTTATATAATTTCATAGTTTTGGAGCACTAATTAGACACAGACATATTCATATCTCAAGGCTCAACTCATGACATCAATCAAATGAGAAGCTATTAATTCTGAATTCAATTCAAAATATATACTAGTTCATATCAAGAATTCAAATTCAACAATTGATCATGCTTTATAATAAGAAAGATAATAATCAGCGTGCGCGCGCGCACACACACACAAACACACACACACACACACACACACATATATA